CGTCTCACCAGAACCGAGGGATAAACCACTATCGTATTACAATGCATATTGTTGAAATTAACTCCAACTACATGGACACTCGAGAAGCTACCGATTAAGGGTAGACTAGATTAAATCGCACAACTTTGTCAAAAGTTGGTGAAATAATCGCTTCATGAACAGTTCAATGGATTTAAGATGTTACTAAATAGAGAATGCTCTTATGTTTCCGATATTTATTCCCCATTACTCATTCGAATTACATCAACTTAAAGGAATAAGTGCATTAAAAGCCAGGTATTTTCACGCGTCAAGCCCCACAAATGCTATTATGAATAAGGAATGAGATTTATAGCATTACCTAATTCAAGCTTTAACGGTCTAAAATTTCTTACTTATGCTCATGTCAGAACGGAAGACAATCTGAAATCAGCTAAGGGTAGGACGAGGCTCGCAGATCTCCTGTCTCCTGGTCCTTATACTCTTTGAACACCCAGGTTGACTTGGCTTCGACATGCTTATCAAGATAAGTAGATAGGGGAAGCAAGTACGGTGTTTAGGGGGTGTGGACACGAAAACGCTCCCGGGGTTGCAGGATATTGACTCCTCAGTCACGAGGTTCTACTCGTACCTCACCTCCTCTCTATAGGCACATTAAAACAACATAAGTATTGCGTAAGCATAACCCAAGGCGCACAGTATGGTTTACTTAATTCCCATTAAAGTGATTTAATAATTACATTGTTTGGTTTGGCTTTCCTCATTATAGTCATCATATTCAATGTTTTATATTGACGTCAAGTAAACAAAACTATAACGGTTTCTGATTTGAAACTTAAATGATAAATGTTCGTGATTAAAATAGATTATTAATGCTGAGATTCCCCAAGCATTATTAAAGGAACTCAAAAGTAAAAATAATATTATCCGTCAACAATGTATTTTTTGAAAGCATTTTTCGATGCCTGTAGTGCATATAAAAATGAAGTCTATTAAAGTAGACGCTGTTTGTTTGTTTAGTCAACTTGGATGAAGTTTACTGTGATAACGCGGGTTAAATCAGTTGATGTGTTGGCGATTGCCGTCTGCTCCTGGTAGGTGCTTCTTTCTCATCTGGTTTGTCACTACCATATTCTTGCGATAGCGCCTTTGAACGGGACTTATTTAATGCACTTCCCTTAGAGTAGAAGTCCCCCTTCCGTATAAGCTTTAGGATGTGTATGCCTCTCGCTTTCCAGTTGTTTTCCTGTTTTTTTGTTGTTAAATGTAGCTTTAGGCCTGTTCCCTAAAATTATTTCCTTATCACCTCATTTTCGTGCCCCAAATTATTGTTTTCGTCCTTGATATCCACTTTGCTTATTTGACACCTGTCAGTTTTGGCAGTTTGGAATCTGCATACTCATTTCTGGCCTTTAAATCTTCTTTGACTTTTTTTGCAGACGTCCCGTTTTCATCGACACATATCCTTAACATGCCTCGTGATTTGATAACCCTACAACTTGGACAATGCGGCAATCAAAGTAATCTAGAGGTTTCATTTTTATTTTTCCTTAAAACTGCGTCATTACTGTTTATCCCCTTAATATCTTTAGTCGGCATGGAGTTCTGGAAACAGCTTTGCACTGAACATGGTATCAATCCAGAGGGCACGCTGGAAGAATTTGCCACCAATGGCACAGATCGCAAAGACGTCTTCTTCTACCAAGTCGGAAAAATTCGCAAATGAAATCGAAAAAATAGTCTATGTGCCCCTAGTATTGGGAAGCTTTGCTTCTCCTTTTCATACCTTATGAAAATCTTGCTGATGGAGAGACTATCTCCCAGTGGTTGCTTTTATGTTACTTTTGTTGTCCATCCTGGTTGCTAATCGGTTTTGTGTCTTTCTTTCAACTTACTTTAAGGTTTTACGCTTTTCGTTTAGGCTGATGACGCTCACTACATCCCACGAGCAGTTCTAGTTGACCTTGAGCCACGAGTAATCAATACCATTCTCAGTTCACCCTATGCTCGTCTCTACAACCCAGAAAATGTTTATATGTCGAAAAACGGTGGTGGTGCAGGTAATAACTGGGCCGCCGGCTATACACAAGCCGAAAAACTGCAAGAGGAAATCTTCGACATCATCGATCGCGAGGCCGAAGGCAGTGATAGTCTTGAGGTGCGTGCTGCCTACTTTCAAATTCAGTAAATGATGCTGTTCTGCCTTTATAGGGCTTCATAATGACTCACTCAATCGCCGGGGGTACAGGATCTGGCATGGGCTCGTTTATGCTGGAACACCTTAACTCTCATTTCCCTAAAAAACTCATCCAGACGTACTCGGTGTTCCCCAATCTTGAGGACACTAGTGATGTAGTAGTACAGCCCTACAACTCTTTACTTACGTTGAAGAGGCTTACGTTGAATGCAGATTGTGTGGTGAGTTACTGACTCCATTTTCAGTGTTATAGAACTTTCATTTAGCCAATCGGCGTTAAGAGGAAATTCTCCTAAATATGCTTCATCTGCTGTTCTTCTATTTCTTGGATTAGTTTTTTTATCTTTCAGCATTTGATTGGTGAATTTACACCTCTTTGATGGCATCATTAGAAACAAGGCACTTATCATTAGCTTTACCAGATTTGCTATATAGGTGGTTTCTAATCGCACCTTTCTTTCAAGCGCTACGCCATAAGTTGGCCTCATTTTTCTTTCAGTGAAATGCAAACTTGGTTGACACGTCTCTGTCCTCCTGTCCTTGTTCATTGCTTCAATATTTCCGAAGCAAAATGACGGAATTATTTAGGGCATAAAACATGTGACCTTTCGCTAGTATCGTGGGTAAATCTCATCAATGGCGTTGGTTATCATCCATTAAGTCTAATCTGTGTATTTTTCCATTGTTTTATGGTATAAATAAATGAATGTGTGGCAGTTAGTGGAAAAATGACTTTGAATGCCATCTGATTCCTTGGTCAGTTAGTAGTGATCTTGAGATGCAGAGATCGTGAGTCGATTGAGCATGCAACTGTGATTCACAGTGGATTATCCTAAATATGTGACACAAGCTACAACATTGCCGATGATTTTAACACCTTCGCTGTTAGGGTCGGTCTCAGCAACTAACTGATCACCAAAGCAGTCTTAATATCAAGAACATCCGGTATTTTTGCTTTGAGCTCAACTGATTTGTTTGCGAAACGCGAGTTGGTTCCGTTAAATATCATTAACAAACATGGTGGAGCTCCGATGGGGAGACTAGAGGGTTCTGATGAGTTTGCATCGCTTCGATGATTGTGATCTGTCTCGTAAAAGAGTTAAATAGAATTTGTCCATCATCTCCCTGGTTAGGCAAGTATTATTTGAGGAGAGGGTAGTCTTGGCAATACTTGTTGATTACCTGTTGTTGATTACCAGGTGGTTCTGGATAACACGGCCCTGCATCGGATAGCTACAGATAGACTTCGTTTGGAGAACCCAACTTTTGCGCAAATCAATCAACTGGTGAGTTTGTCTGACACTTTGTTGTTTTGGGTGTCTGAAATTAGTTTTCGCTTCCCATGAACCTCTACTTTAAGTTGAGCTCTCCAGCGGTTCATTACAATTAACGTAGGTTGTTCGCCTGCAATCGAGTCAAAAACTTTCCTGCTTGAGCCAAGCCTCTCAGGAGTTGTAGTAGAGGAAGTTCATCTGAGTATTTTCTCAAGCGAACCTGCCATCATGATAGATATTGATTAGCCATTGTAAGAAATGGTCATTTATCGTCTTGATTTGAACATCTCCTTTGGCGCTCCTTATGGTAACCCTTGCCGTGGCCTCAACAACTGTGAGCAAAGTGAAGTCATCTACGGGATCGGAGCGGAGATCCTGCAAATTTTTATAGGGAAAAGGCCTTTTCAAATTCAATGACAACGGTGGCTCTCGATTTTGATGGTCTTCACCCACCACGTCCTCTGTTGGTCGGTTACCTACTGACTTTTGGTGATTAATGGCTTTGTTTCAACAGTAGGCAAACGATTATAGCATTGTTTGCTCCCAAGAGATCTACTTTATCACTGAAATGCATTTGGTTTGCATGTGGTAAACTGCCGATGGACTTGTTGATAAGAAATTATTCTCTTGCTGAAAGTCAAACATCGATTTTAGCCACGATCCATCTACTCTATGCGACAGTTCGAAGACGTGCGAGACATTCTACTTCTCGAGGAACAACTGGTACTAGTGAATCAGTGGGAAGAGAGCATAGGGTAGCGCAGCACCTCATATCGTCGCAAAATTTATCCATGTGAAAACTTCATGCCGCACTTTAGGAAGGAAGAGAAGGAGGGAGATACCACTTTACCCTCCCCCTTCATATTCCTCTAAGGAATCCTTCAAGTACTAATTACCATTGTTTTTTAATCGGACAATTAGGTACGCAATAAACTAAGTATTTGAAAGCAAAAGTGAAGTACCAACGGTGATTAGCACTGGGTATTTTGTTTCTGGGGCAAAAAAAAACGTAAAAGCACGAATGAGAGTTGGACTGTATTATATTGTGAAACGATTACAGATTACACCATTTGATGGTGATCATTTTAAAAACAAGATGCTTGAAAAACTTTTCTGCTGTTTATTTTTCATAAAAACAGCACTAACCCATCTGGTTGGCTTCATAGAGTTTCGTTGTGGTTACAAACCTACTTCATGTTTCTTTGTGATGCCATACTTTATTATTCTCTTATCCTTTCAGCTTGAGTATTTCAGCCCTATTTTGCTGCCTCCATTTTTTTTTTTCGTTTTATTTCATTAAATTATTGTCCCCCTCTACTACTGGCTCAAAGCTTATTCTTTACGGGTTCAGGTGTCCACTGTAAATGTTATTCTTTCTGAGTTTCCATCGAAGTGGTTCAAAGACATACAAGTCTGAAAGTACCTTTGCCATCAAACTGCAGAATGACCAGGAGATTTGTACATTAGGAATAGTTTGTAGTTGTGAAAACAGGGTAGCTTTTGTAACCTTACAATATCCTATCAGACTACAACTTCTGGCAAAGGTGTAGTCTATTTAAAGTGCACGTGTTCGAAGCGCTATACCGCTTTGACATTGAAGGAGTTCACTGATGACTGTGGTAAGCGGAGCTTATATAAAGCTGTGGATGGGTAATGTGTACGTGGTTCATGAAGGGGGTTGTGACTGTCACGATTAAGGACACGTCTGATTCCCATCCTCACAAACGATCTGCGTGCTTGCGTCCAAACGGTAGATGTGGTAGTGTGATACGCCTCACGATTGGCAGCGCTTCATGCCACCGTCACAGAGATCACTATTTCCCATTCTATTTTGAGCGTCGTCCTTAGAACTCCTTTCTTTCGTCACTCATCACAGCAAGATTCAAGTGAATTTGAACCATCTTGCGACAGGAATTATGCTATGCTTTTCCACCACAATGAGAGGACTTCTCCATATTCAATCATAGTGATGGAATTCGTGGTAGCGTTTGGGGCGCGTGATGTTGTGCTAGGAGCATTCGTTTCATTGGTGCTGAATTGGTGACCACCTAGACCCTGCTAACCTTCGAAAATGCTGTGGTTTTTAATAATTCTCGCCACCATCCTCACTGAGGGCTTATTCTTGTGTGTAAATTCACGAGGGAAGGCTATGGGCTCATGAGGAGCCCAGGCTCAAGCCTCCTGTGCGCTGTCAACATCAGCGACTGCTGTGAGCTGGAAACCACTACTGCTTGCGCTCTTATTGACAGAGATATTACCAAATTTGAGGCGTTTGCACCATTCAAACGTCTTCTATTGTATGTCTCAGCGTTCCATCGTCGTACTATGCCTGATATTTTCTCAAGATAAGGGTGATTATTCACGGGTCGTAGGCCTTCATTTACAGTTGACTTTACTACATTACATAGTGTACAAACACACTACTAATTAGCAGTGTCTGGGGTAGCCTGGCCCTCGAAATGCTTGTCGACTGAGTATGGCCAATAAGAAGACAAGCGACTGAAGATGCATTCCTTCTTGCGTAAAAAGTCCAAGTTTGACCTGAACGTACTTTTACTAAGTCATTGAGCTTGTGGTTTTTTGATGGAACATCTGTCGCATCAAATAGGACGTTGTTTTTTTTCTCATTTTTATACAGGTCTCCAAGGTGATGTCGGTGAGCACAGCAACTCTGCGTTACCCCAGCTATATGAACAATGATTTGATTGGCTTAATTTCGCCTTTAACACCGACTCCACGTCTACATTTCCTTATGACGGGCTATACACCGCTGACGACGGAGAAGGAGGTGGCTGAGGTGCGTCGCACTACCGTCTGTGATGTGATGCGGCGGCTATTGCAGCCGAAGAACATGATGGTGTCGACCTCTGTACAACGCAATGTGGATCACTGCTATATTGCCATTCTCAATATCATTCAGGGTAGGTCGATTTGACCTCCGTCCCATTGTGAAAGGGTACTTTTTATGCAAAGTTTTGTCAATCCTCGGGTACAAAGCTTGAATTTGAGAGATCTTCGAGGTCCCGTTTCTACGACCATTGATCAGCATTTGACACTTCTGGTGTTTTCTTGATTATAAACTTTTAAATCAGCAGTTTTGTATCTCAGTGTTCGAGGTAGTCCTGGAAGCGCCTTCAAATTCCACGTATTTTGCTGTTTAGAGATCTCGTCCCGATTAACTTGAAGTAGAGTAGTCTTTTTTGTCTAATTATTTCGATCTGTTCACAATGTTGGAAGGTGTTCTATCTCACTTATGAAACAGGTTTCGTCCTGCTTCCATTAGTTTCTTACTTGGCTCTACTACCTATTACCATGCAGCCTACGCTGTGCTTTATTATCGGATATTTTAGCCGAATGAGGTATCATTATTTGGTTGTACTGAAGAAGTGGTGTAGCGATTTTATTATATATGCTTTTATTTTGTTGACTACGGGTCTTGCTCTATCACTAGTGTTCATGCCTTCCTCTTTGCAGCGTCAATGGAAACGTCCATGTCGCACAAGGAGTAACGTTGATGGAAATGTGTCCCATCTCATTGACACTAATGTCATGCCCTAGTTACTCATGAAGACAGCTTTATTGTTAATTTACTGAAAGGCTGAGGAACTGATTGTGTAGGCGGTATTAGCGGGCCACTCCGTGTAAATGTCACAGATTAATTGACCATTCCAATCAGCTTACATCTTCGATTTCCTCATCATGTGCCAGGATTTCTCCGTTCTCCACTTTATTACTTGGCCTTGTGAGCCTGAGTGCATTCAGGAATCGATATGTTCCAGGCTTCCGATATTCCTGGACGCCATTCTCCAACTTCTAATCTTACCTTTGCCAATGCTTGATAGTTTTACAAATCCAAGGGTTAAATTCTTGCACTTTCTAGATAGGCGTAGGTTCACTAATATTAGATTTGTGTCTTTTTCCATTTGTTGTTAAAGTGGATTCATTCGTAGGATTCGATTTTTAAAGCATTCTCATAATACCTTAGAATTTAGCGATATTTTGTTGCCAGCTTCATGCCCTTCGGGTTTGTCCGGGAGTCTATATTCATTGAGTCTGGGTTTCTATCTAGGATTGATGCACTCAGTATTCTCAAAATAATTTAGGCCCTATCTCATTTTATAGGCGAAGTGGATCCAGCCGAGGTTCATAAGTCTCTTCAACGCATTCGCGAACGTCATCTGGTCAAATTTATCCCCTGGAGTCCCTGTAGCATACAAGTAGCTCTCTCCCGCCGGTCACCTTACGTCCAAACCGCACATCGTGTTAGCGGTTTAATGCTCGCCAATCACACTAGTATCTCCTCTGTATGCCTATTTTCGCATTTGTTCACAAAATACTCTTCCCGCATTACTTTCTAATCACACTGCTACTTCTCCAGCTATTCCTTCGCTCTCTGAACCAGTACGACAGGCTACGGACGCGTGGAGCTTTTTTGGAACAATTCCGTAAGGAGGAGGTGTTCCGGGGTGATCCGGAGTTGCGCCAATTCTCTGAAAGTCGTCAGGTTGTCCAACACCTCATTGAAGAGCACTTAGCGGCGACCAAGTCTGACTATGTCCAATGGGGAGCGCAGAAAGCAGCAGCAGCAGCGGCTGCTGCCTCGGCGGCTCTGACATCTACAGCATGATATGATGTTTTCAATAGAAAATGTGCTGATTATTTTCCCTCTTCCACTTGGAATAGTAGTTGGGATTTCTTTGAGAGAAAGCTGAATGAAACTCAGGAAGCGGTTCTTTAAAGGGCTCCTATTGTGTCAAAGTTGCAGAGTGTAGTGTACCATTCATGTGCCGGTGGGTACTTCACTGTCGTGGAAGCGCTTTGTCGCAGCTTCAGGATTTGGATGTCCCAGTAGGCTCTCGTGAACATTTTTTGGGTTGGCACATCATCCTAACTTGGTGCTAGTAAAGTCGTAGGGAACCGAGCCTTTTGGGCGGCATATGTCGCCACCTTTCTCTCGGTATTGTAGGCATGCATATTTCGGCGCTCCAAATTTGGTAAATCCCCACTATTCTATCACAGAATTCATGGAGTGGAATTAGGCTTTGATTGTCCGAAGAAGAGGCAACTACCCTACTATCGCCCATGTGATGCGAAACGTCCTGCCGCACAACGCTGTTTTACTTGGATTATTTTCAAAATAATTCTTATCATATTGCTAGAAGTCAATAAACAGCTCCTTACTAGGACCTACGTGTGCTCTGAGTAGATTGGTACTGTTCTATGGCAGAAGAATTTGTTCCTATTAATTCATCTCCCGCTTGTAGAATAATGACTACCTTGAGATATTTTTGTCGTACTTTGAAGAAAGACATCAAAACCCTACTCAAGTACTTCACTTAGCAGTTTGGCATTCACAAGCTTGCGTAAATATGTTAAAAGAAAATACAGTTGGAATCTCATCACACATGACAGATATGTAGCGTCCCGGGACTCCCTGAAGACGAAAGAAGACGAAATAGCCGGGCAGAATATGTATTCAGCGCAGAGAAGGTGTCTGGGCTATTGGCATGGCCCGAAAGGCCGGCCCACCCAGCGAGGTACAAGGGTGCTAATTCAAAGTACAAAAGTCGCGCCTCATCAATGCCGAGGGATAAACCACTATCGCATTACAGATACTTTGAAACTCCGACAGCAGTGAACAGGCTCATTCCAGATCGTTTAATAACTTTTAGAGTCTAGAGAGATTTCGTTATTAAACCATAATAAAACGGAACTCAAATCACCACATTTTCCAGTCTCAGGTGTAAAATGATCAGTAAAAAACTCTGATCCCTATCTATACGTATCGAATTCGGAGTCTCTATCTCCCACCTCTCCTTTCACACTTTTGAAACGGGCAGACCGATTAGAGAGTACATCTGTTTTTGGATGGGTGCTATAAATGTGTGACGGGAATAGGGGTTATATGGGCCGTTGTTCGTTTCCTCCTCAGGGATTAATGCCGCCCGCCCAGTCACGAGG